TCCTGGGCTCAAGCGAGTCTTCTGCCTCAGCCTCCCAAGTAGCTGGGACCACAGGCACCCGCCACAATGCCTGGCTATTTTTTAGTTGCAGCTGTCATTGTTGTTTTGGTGGGCCCGGGCTGGATTTGAACCTGCCACCTTAGGTGTATGTGGCTGGTGCCTTAGCCACTTGAGCCACAGGCGCTGAGCCAGGATGTAAATTCAACATTGATACATTGACACTGCTAAGTTGTCCTGAAAGACTGTACAAATTTATAGTCCTACCTATTTTTCCATGACATCTGGAGTATAAGGTATTATTAATCTCTAATAAATTAATGAACGTCAGATTGACCTTTGATAGTAAAAATGGCATCTTATTATTTTAGCTTGCATTCTTTGATGTAGAGAGGTTGATGTGTTAATGACGCCCGGGCCGCTCTTGCAGTCTTCTGGGGCTGCATGTTGCTACCTAAGAAGACGGGGTCTCTGTGACTGCCCTTCTGTCACTCCCGTCACTGGGTGTCATTTATTGGATGGCTGTCGAGGTTGCAGGGTTGAGACGCGGAGCAGAGCAGAAGTGTTCCTGAGATGCAGTATTCAGCACTGCTTTGGGTAGTTCCCATTGAACTCAGTGATATTTGAATGGACTACCTGGATCTTTTATCAATACAGTGACATCCCTTACTGACTTTTTTTTTTTTTGGAGACAGTCTCACTTTGTTGCCTTCAGTAGAGTGCTGTAGCGTCATAGCTCACAGCAACCTCAAGCTCTTGGGCTCATGTGATTATCTTGCTTCAAGTTTCCCAAGAAGCTGGGGCTACAAGGGCCTGCCATAATGCTGGGGTATTTTTAGAGACTCAATCAATCCAAGTGCTGGGATTATAGGTGTAAGCAGCCATGCCTGGCTTCCTTATTGACTTTATTTTTATTTATTTACTTATTTAGAGACAGAGTCTCATTATGTTGCCCTGAGTAGAGTGCCGTAGCATCACAGCTCACAGCAACCTCCAGTTCTTAGGCCCAAGCTATTCTCTTGCCTCAGCCTCCCAAGTAGCTGGGACTACGGGTACCCACCACTCTGCCAGGCTATTTTTTGTTGCAGTTGCCACTGCTGGTTTAGTTGGCCGGGGCCGGGTTCGAACCTGCCACCTTCAGTATATGGGGCTGGTGCCCTACCCACTGAGCCACAGGCACCTCTCTAAAGTCTCCATCTTTTTTAATAGATGAATAGTATTTCATGGTATACATCTGTTGCAGCTTGTTAATCCATTCCTGGGTTGGTAGGCATTTAACTTGTTTTTGCATTGTAAATTGAGCTGCAATAAACAATCTAGTGCAAATGTACTTAGGATAAAATAATTTTTTTCAGTGAATTTTGACAAATGCATACATCTGTGTAAGCAGGGGCGCAGGCTGCATGTGGATTTTTTGAGACCTGTTTCGCTTATCCGTGGTGTTGGATATTGTGGAAATTATGCAAGGACCTTTGCTCATCCACTTTTGTTAGTGTTTATTTAATGTGTGACCCAACATTGCCTCTTCCAATGTGCCGCAGAGTAGAAAAAAAAGGCTGTGCTCTGTTCGGCAGCACATGTACTAAAATCGGAAAGATACAAAGGAGATTAGCGTAGTCTCTGTGCAAGGACGACACACAACGTCATGAAGCATTCTATATTTATAAAGAAAAAAAAAGCGGGACACTCTGGGATCAGTATCCCTTCAAAACAGACCATTTCCATCATTCCACCAAACTCCCTTGATCCCTTTCCCAGTGTAGGAAAATATCTTTACTTTCTGCCCTACTAAGTTCTTGACTGGGGCCCCTGTGATAAAAGATAGATTAATAAGAGAAAAGCATATACATGTTTTAAAGTTTAATGTGATACACGAGTCTTCATAAGGAAATGAAGACCCAAAGAAACAGTTAGATCTGAGCATTTTAACATTAGGTTTGATGAAGAGCGGGGAGTTGTGGGAAAATGTGACAGTGCAGAGACGGATGTGAGCGTAGAGTTGGGACGGAGAGAAACTTGGTCAGGCCTGTTTGTTCACATCCCTGCTGGTGTCCCTCTGTCTTTGGAAACAGCTGCTCCTATCCTCTGGGTGTAGGGAGGGCACCTCTCTCATGAGGATGTTACGACCTGCACCTGCTGTTTCACAGGTACCTTCAGCTTAAAATACTCAGCATGCCAAGGTGCCATGTTCTGGAGTAGCAGGTCCTAAACCTTGTTACCAGTTAGCTCCCTTCCACCCTACCCAGATAAATTAATATGTAGTTAGAGATTAGTTTTGTCAGTTCTTGAACTTCACATGAATGGAATCGTATAGTTTGTATCTTTTTGGGGGGTGAGGTTTCTTTTTCTCAACATACCATTTTTGAGATTTATCCTTGTTTTGTGTATTTGTCATTTTGTGGGTCTTTCCTTTCTTTCTTTCTTTTTTTTTTTGAGACAGAGCCTCAAGCTGTCCCCTTGGGTAGAGTGCTGCGGCATCACAGCTCACAGCAACCTTCAACTCCTGGGCTTCAGTGATTCTTTTGCCCCTGCCTCCCAAGTAGCTGGGACCACAGGCGCCTGCCACAACCACGGCTATTTTTTGGTTGCAGCCATCATTCTTGTTTGGCAGGCCTGGGCTGGATTTGAACCCACCAGCTCAGGCACATGTGGCTGGTGCCTTAGCCGCTTGAGCTACAGGCACCGAGTCTTTTCCTTTATTTCTAAATATTATATTTATCTAACATTATTTGTTTACTTATCTATTATTAGACATTTGGGTTTTTCTAGTTTGGGACTTTTATAAATAAAAATTCTGAGCCAGGCGAGTGGATTGTCCTAGCTCATAGGTTCGAGACTAGCCTGAGTCAGAGCAAAACCCTGTCTCTGAAAATAGCTGGGCATTGTGGCAGATGCCTGTAATCCCAGCCTCTTGGAAAATTGAGGCAAGAGAATCACTTGAGCCCAAGTTTGAGGTTGCTGTGAGCTATGATGCTATAGCACTCTACTGAGGGTGACAAAGTGAGATTCTGTGAGCTTTCACATACAGGGTTTTTTGTGAGCATAAATTTTCTTCAAATTGTATATAAACCCAGCACATTGTACTCTGTGATTGTATTAATGTACACAGCTATGATTTAATAAAAAAAGAAACAAAATTTTTCTGGTGCCGAGCATAAGTTTTTATTTCTCTTGGCTAAGCAGGTATGAGTGAAAGTGTTGAGTCAGACAGTAAGTATATTTTTAACTTTAAGAAATCACTAAACGATTTTCCGAAGGGGCTGTGCTATTTTGTATTCCGACTAGCATCATAGGACGGTTCCAGTAGCTTCAGGGGCTTGTCTGTGACACTTAGTGTCCCCTGTTCTGTTTGTTAATTTTAGTCATCTTAGTGGGTCTGTAGCAGCATCTGATTATTGTTTTAATTTGAATTTCATAGAGTGGAGTCTTTTGATGGAGAACGTGCTGGGGGTTTTCTTTAATGTTTGTATAGGACTATAGACATGTGTGTTGTCTTTTGTCTTATTTTATTTAATTGTACTTTATCTTGTTTTTAATTTTTTTAGTTGACACGTAATAATTTTACATATTTATGAAGCACATAGCGGCGTTTTGACACAGAGATTAGAGCAGGGTAATTAGCATAGCCATCATCTCAGACATCACTTATTTGTGTTGTATTTTTACATTTTTCTCTAGGTTTCTTTAAAAAGTGATTGAAGAGAAGAATTCAAAATGCCTGAAAATCCTGCTACAGGTACACTAGACTCGTAATTCTAGCATTAAGTTAATTAATGATTTAAAAAGGGAATGTAGGATGGGATTTAACTTTGACCCCAACTGTCCTCCTTCCCCCAAGACAAATTGCAGGTGCTGCAGGTCCTCGATCGCCTGAAAGGGAAGCTGCAGGAGAAGGGAGACACGTCGCAGAATGAGAAGCTGTCTCTGTTTTACGAGACCCTGAGGAGCCCTCTCTTCAACCAGATCCTCACCCTGCAGCAGTCCATCAAGCAGCTGAAGGGGCAGGCGAGTTGCTCAGCCTGGGGTCACACGCTGTATTCTGGCCAGCAAGGAGAGACAGAAATTAAGGATTCTGGCTCGGCACCTGTGGCTCAAGTGGCTAAGGCGCCAGCCATGTACACCCATGGTGGCGGGTTCAAATCCAGCCGGGCCCGTCAAACGACGACGGCTGCAACCAAAAAATAGCCGGGCGTTGTGGCGGGTGCCTGTGGTCCCAGCTACTTGGGAGGCTGAGGCAAGAGACTCGCTTGAGCCTAGGAGTTGGAGGTTGCTGTGAGCTGTGATGTCACAGCACTCTACCCAGGGGGACAGCTTGAGGCTCTGTCTCAAAAAAAAAAAAAGAAAAAAAAGAAATTAAGGATTCTGAGTTCACAAAGAGACTGTATAGGAACTTGTAACCTGTGGGCAACATTGGCATGGATGATTTAAAAATGTTGATAATTTCGTTTGGCTTTAGAATATGATTTTGGGGTGGTGCCTGTGGCTTGGTGAGTAGGGTGCCGGCCCCATATATCAAGGTGGCCCAAATTGCAACAAAAAATAGCTGGGCATTCCAACCCTGCCCCAACCAAATTGCAACAAAAAATAGCTGGGCATTGTGGCGGGCTACTTGGGAGGCTGAGGCAAGACAATCACCTAAGCCTAAGAGCTGGAGGTTGCTGTGAGCTGTGACATCACTACAGAGGGCGACAAAGTGAGACTCTAAAAAAAAAGATTCAGAATATGGTTTTGTACTTGGCTCATGTGCAGTGGCTCATGCCTATAATGCTAGCACTTTGAGAGGATCACTTGAGCCTAGCAGTTTAAGACCAACCTGGGCAATGTAGCAAAACTCTACAAAAACAAAAAAAACTATCTGAGGGCGGTGCCTGTGGCTCAAAGGAGTAGGGCGCCAGCCCTATATACCAGAGGTGGTGGGATCAAACCTAGCCTGGCCAAAAACTGGAAAAAAAAAAAAAAATATCTGAGTGTGGTGCTTGTAGTCCCAGCTACTTGGGCGGCTGAGGTTGGAGGATTGCCTGAAGTCCACAGTCTGAGGCTGGAACTATAATTGCCCCACTGCACTCCAGCCTGGTTGACAGAGTAAGACCCTGTCATTCATTCATTAATAAAAAAGTAAGTAAAAATCAGATACTTTGAGAATTCTCAACATTTTCTTCAAAGTTATAAAATAATGCTTAATATAAATACTGTACATTTTCCCTCTGAGGGCTTATCTGGCAAAAAGTGATCTTGCCTCTGTAACACATCATTCCTACATCTCTTAGTTTTCTAATCATCACGGATGTTCTGATGAGAAGCTCCTTGAAGGTTCCGTTCTTGGTGTTTAATACTCCTCTGTGTTTCCTCTGGTGCACAGACCTTATGGCCAGGACTCTGCAGGCTCTGAATAGACACCTAAGAGTGATGCACATTCATAGTTTTAACTCTCCTGTTGAGTTCTGTGTTTTGGGGTTGACCACCCAAGGGACTATAACAAACTGGCCAGCATACTGAGGTGGTCAGCATAAGGAACTGGGCCTACTCTATTGATGTGTACATATGGTGCGGGTCCAGTCTGTGAATTTTTTCCTTTAGGCTAGAATTCTTTTTTTCTTTTTTTTGAGACAGGGTTTCCCTCTGTTGCCCAGGCTGAAGTACAGTGCCACGATCACAGCTCACTGCAACCACGAACCCCTGGGCTCAAGCAAGTAGCTCATTCTCCTTCATGCCTCTTTAGTAGCTGGGACTATAAGTGCTCACCACCACATCTACCTCATTTTTTTTTGCAGTTTTTGGCCAGGGCTGGGTTTGAACCCACCACCTCTGGCATATGGGGTTGGCCCCCTACTCCTTTGAGCCACAGGCGCCACCCCACATCTGGGTCATTTAAAAAAAAAAAAATTATAGAGACAAAAGTCTTGCTATGTTGCCTAGACTGGTCTCAAACTCCTGGGCTCAAGCTGGCCTCCAACTTTGGCTTCCCAAAGTGTGCATGAGCCACCATGCCCAGCCTAGACCGTTCCCCATACTGAAGGTTAGCTCTCTGTACTCCCTGGTCATAGAATTGATCCCATATTGCCATAGAATTGATCCCATATTGCCATAGTGAATCCTGTTGATAGTAACTGAAATTAGCAAAGGCCAGGAAAACTCTGATAGTCTTACCAAACTGAGTTGATTTACCTAACAGTAAGAATCCTCTATATTTGTGTAGTTTGTGCTTGTTATATGCATGGTTACATTTTATTTTATTTTATTTTGAGACGGAGCCTCAAGCCGTCCCCCTTGGTAGAGTGCCGTGGCATCACTTACAGCAATCTCCAACTCCTGGGCTCAAGCGAGTCTCCTGCCTCCACCTCCCAAGTAGCTGGGACCACAGGCGCCCACCACAACCCCCGGCTATTTTTTTGGTTGCAGCCATCATTGTTGTTTGGCGGGCCCGGGCTGGGGATTCGAACCCGCCACCTTGGGTGTATGTGGCTGGCGCCTTAGCCATCTGAGCCACAAGTGCTGAGCCCATGGTTATATTTTATTCATTGAACTGTAAAGTCCCAGTAGCTAAAGAATATTCATTTTTTTTTCTATGAGGTCTTAATAACACTTATTCTTTTTTTTGGCCAGGGCTGGGTTTGAACCCGCCACCTCCGGCATACTGGGCCAGCACCCTACTCCTTTGAGCCACAGGCGCTGCCCAATAACACTTAATCCTAATGTTACCTTGATTCTACTATGTTAACAGTAACAATGTTTTAAGATTCTTACTCTCCGTGGTTACAGGATTCTCCTTTCTACTGACATTTAAGTGGGTCTGCGAGTCTCTAGCTGCACATTTGGGCACATTACTTAATCCTCGTGTGCTTCAGTTTGCACATTCACAAAATAGAGTTCTGATACCTCATCAGACTGTTGTAAGGATTAAATGATAACACACGTAAGAGTCTCAGTCCTTACTTAGCTCCTAGCAAGCGCTCAGTAACTACCATCGTTGCTGTCCGTGCCCCACCCTCTTTTGTGGCCCCCCACATGGAGACATACAGATCAGTGCGGAGGAGTTTTGTGTCTCACATGTTATAGGACTCGGTGTATCTGTGCGTACTTAGTGTAGTGAGATGTCAGTGTAGCTGCTGTTAATTGGGGTGGTGGCAAAAGATAAGAAACAAGAACAGATTTTAAGCTGTTGAACATTTTTGTGTCATGCTAAGTTAGAAACAATTTCTAGTCTTGTGAACACACAGATTAGTTTTTTACATATATATTTTTTACACGTAAATCATTCATGTAACGGGCAAAATGTAATATTTAATAAGTAGAAATAATTCCTTCTTTGCAGATTTCTGTCAGTGATTCCTTTGTTTCTCCCTCTAACAGCTCAGCCATGTGCCCTCAGACTGTTCGACCAACTTTGATTTTTCGAGGAAAGGTTTGTTGGTGTTCACCGATGGTTCCAGTAGTAATGGGAAGGCCAGCAGGTCCTCTAATAACTTGACCGTATCTGGGTTATTTCCTTGGACCCCAAAGCTGGGAAATGAGGACTTCAACTCAATCATTCAACAGATGGCTCAGGTAGTTACACCTTGTCATGGTTAATACTTAGTTTCATTTTTCGTGTTTTAGGTTAAATAAGAAAACCATATTCATTCTTTTTGCCATAAAATGTGTTACCCTTTCTTACTCATGTTTTCATATTGCTAGGAAGAATTGAATCCATTTTTTAACTTGTGTATCAGAAACTCACTGGGTTAAAATAAAATAAGGAAAGTATCTACATTTATGGTAAGGAGAATTTTTAGATGGTGATTCCAACTAGACACATTTCTATTCCTTTTTTTTTCTTTTTTTGAGACAGAGTCTTACTGTGTTTCCCTCTGTAGAGTGCTCTAGCATCACAGCTCACAGCAGGCTCTAACTCTGGGCTTAAGCGATTCTCTTGTGCCAAGCGATGTCTCTATTCTTATAAGGAAAGATATTTATTTACTTATTTATTTTGAGACAGAATCTCAAACTGTCACTCTGGGTAGAGTGCTGTGGCGATTCTCTTGCCTCAGCCTCACAAGTAGCTGGGACCACAGGTGCCTGCCACAACGCCTGGCTATTTTTTGTTGTTGTTGTTGCAGTGGTCATTGTGGTTTAGCAGGCATGAGCCGGGTTCAAACCCACCAGCCCTGGTGTATGTGGCCGGTACCCTAACCACTGAGAGGGCGCCACCCAGGGAAAGATATTCTTATTGATTCTGATGACAGGAGGAAAATTATCTATCAGAAGCAATAAACAATTGAAACTGGTTTTAATTTTCTCTCAAAACAGAATTAATGGGAGTTAGAACTGATACACTTTGGGAGGTCCAGAAGAACATTTGGAAGGGTATTTCATTTATAACCCTAATACCTATTAAATTTAAATAATAGAAAATTGAATTTTTACATATGTCTTTTTGTTCACCTCACTAAATACTGAGTGCTTTTAAAAATGAAACTTGAATTTAAAAGTTAAAAATGACCTGTTTAAGGCTCGGCGCCTATAGCTCTAGTGGCTAGGGCACCAGCCACATACACTGGAGCTGGCAGGTTTGAATCTGGCCCGGGCCTGCCAAACAACAATGTCAACTGCTACCAAAATAGCCAGGCATTGTGGCAGGCGCCTATAGTCCCAGCTACTTGGGAGGCTGAGGCAAGAGAATCTCTTAAGCCCAAGAGCTGGAGGTTGCTGTGAGCTGTGATTTCACAGTACTCTACCAAGGGGGACATAGTGAGACTCTGTCTCAAAAAATAAAAAATTCTTTTGCATCAACAATATTTAGGGAAATTTAACATAAAAAGTAATTTAGAATTTAATGTGGGAATAGGCATTTTTCTTAGGATTTTTTTTTTTTTTTTGGAGACAGGAGCCTTAAGCTGTCCTCCTAGGCAGAGTGCCATGGCATCTCAGCTCACAGCAACCTCCAAATCCTGGGCTCAAGCGAGTCTCCTGCCTCAGCCTCCCAAGTAGCTGGGACCACAGGCACCCACCCCAACGCCCGGCTATTTTTTTGGTTGCAGCCGTCATTGTTGTTTGGTGACCCGGGGTGGATTTGAACCAGCCACCTTAGGTGTACGTGGCTAGCGCCTTAGCCACTTGAACCACAGGCGCTGAGCCAGGATTTTTTTTTTTTTTTTTTGGCAGTTTTTGGCCGGGGCCAGGTATGAACCTGCTGCCTCTGGTATGTGGGTCCAGCTGCCCTACTCCTTTGAGCCACAGGCGCTGCCCTTTTCTTAGGAGTTTTCATCTAGCTTGAGTCATCTCAGAACACGAATGAAGTGTGAAAGTGACTGAGTCCCTGCGGTGGCAGAACACTGCACCCTCTCTTACATTCTACTGAAAATAATCATGTGAGAGGATTTCCAAGAATAATTCATTCCTGGAATGCTGAGTTTCTGTGGTTCCAGAGAGACGCCTTAGGAGAAGCTGCTTTTGTGCTGAGTGATCTCAGCTCTGCAGGAAGCACCTGTTGTTTAAATGCACATCGCTGACTTTTTAAAAATCCCCTGTACCTAGGGCCGGCAAATTGAATACATAGATATAGAACGACCTTCCACTGGTGGCCTTGGGTTCAGTGTGGTGGCCCTTAGGAGGCAGAACGTGGGGGAAGTGGATATCTTCGTGAAGGAGGTGCAGCCGGGGAGCGCGGCAGCCAGGTAAGGACCATGTCCCTTCTGCTCATTTTTTCTGATAACTGAGAGTGAGAAGTCAGTAATTAAAAAGTAACGGTAGTAGCTCACACCCTGTTTAACTCTTCCTTTGTGTCTGTCAGGCCTTTTTGGGTGTTCTGGCATTCATAGAACCTCTAGAAGTTCAGCTGTGTTAAGTGTCGAGAACCTGTGAACTCAGGCCATCCACCTGCCTCGGCCTCCTGGGTGCTCGGATCTCAGGTGTGAGCCACCTCGCCCAGCCTGGATTTATTATTCTTAGTGTCAGTTAAGAGGTCCCTCACGTCGGCTCAGCGCCTGTGGCTCAAGTGGCTAAGGCGCCAGCCACATACACCTAAGGTGGCGGGTTCGAATCCCCAGCCCGGGCCCGCCAAACAACAATGACGGCTGCAACCAAAAAATGGCCGGGCGTTGTGGCGGGTGCCTGTAGTCCCAGCTACTTGGGAGGCTGAGGCAGGAGACTTGCTTGAGCCCAGGAGTTGGAGGTTGCTGTGAGCGTGATGCCATGGCACTCTACCCAGCGGGACAGCTTGAGGCTCCGTCTCAAAAAAAAAAAAAAGAAAAAAAAAGAGATCCCTCAAGTCTGCCTCATTCCCCCACATTGTGCCTGCTCTTACTTTTTAAGGGGTATGTTTAAGCCTTTTGTGTCTATTTGGTTTGTGGTCTTGGGTTTGTTATTTGTTTAATAATTATGTAATTTTAATGTGCCTGCTAGAACATTAGCAATACTGGCAACATAGTATTATAAAAATTCTCGGTAGTGTAGTTTTGAATTCACATTCTCCATTCATGAGGGATTAATTCTAGTCTCCCCAGCTCAAAATTCAGACATGGATGTCTTGACTTCGTGCCTTCCTTTTGCCATTGAGCAAAACGTTTTCTTAGGTGTGCTCTGTGGAACCACAGCCGTGGTCAGAGGTGTCTGGGGAACTCTGGCCTGTTCGTGTACATAGTTAGGGTGGTCGTGTAAGTCACCATCCAGGTCGGTGCAGGTTTGGGAGTAACTGGGGTGCTATTTACAGTGAAACAGAGCCCACTGGGGGCTCAGGCATATAATCTAGCACTCTGGGAGGCTGAGGCAGGAGGATTGCCTGGGATCAGGAGTTCATGACTGTTCTGAGCAAGAGTGAGACTTCGTCTCTCTTAAAAATGGAAATTAGCTGGGCACAGTGGCTCGCACCTATAGTCCTAGCAACTTGGGAGAGGCTAGAAGATTGCTAGAGGTAAGGAGTTTGAGATTGCCATGAGCTATCATGAAGCCCCTGCACTCCAGCCTGGGTGACAGAGTGAGACCCTGTCCCCACAAAAAAGAAAAGAAAGAAAAGAAACAGAGACAGGGCAGCACCTGTGGCTCAAAGGAGTAAGGCGCTGGCCCCATATGCCGGAGGTGGTGGGTTCCAACCCAGCCCGGCCCGGGCCAAAAACTGCAAAAAAAAAAGAAACAGAGACAGCAGCCATAAAGTAGGACTGTTTTTAGATGATGCATGTTAAAGCTGACTTACAGTCCCTAAACACTGACTTGCTAAAGACTAAATTCTCTTGAAAGAAAAGCCGATTTAACTTTGGCTAACTTTTCTCTTTAATATTTTAATCTTACTTTTTTTAGCTACTATTGTGATATAATTCACATGACATGAGTGTCACCATTTTATTTATTTGAGACGGAATCTCAGTATGTTACCCTCAATAGAGAGCAGCTCATGGCAACCTCTAACTCTAGGGCTTAAGTGATTCTCTTGCCTCAGCCTCCCACGTAGCTGGGAATACAGACACCCACCACAACGCCCAGCAATTTTTTTTGTTTTTGTTATCGTTGTAGTTTAGCAGTCTGGGGCCAGGTTTGAACCCACAACTCCCAGTGCATGTGGCTGGTGCCCTAACCACTGAGCTACGGGCGCCCAGCCAGCTTCACCATTTTTTTTTTTTGAGACAGAGCCTCAAGTTGTCCCCCTGGGTAGAGTGCTGTGGCATCACAGCTCACAGCAACCTCCAACTCCTGGGTTCAAGTGAGTCTCCTGCCTCAG